TTATTTTTGTCTTTTGCTTCCCTTGCCTGAGGAGACATATCAAAAAAATATTGCTAAGAGAGTGCTGCCCATGTTTTCCTCTAGGAGTGTTATGGTTTCAGGTCTTACATTTACGTCTTTAATCCATTTTGAGTTTATTCTTGTATCGTGTAAAAAAGAGGTCTGGTTTCATTTTGTTGCATGTATCTATCCTGTTTTCCCAGGACCAGTTATTGAAAAAAACTGTATATTCTTGCCTCCACTGCCATAGATTAATTGACCATATAGATGTGGGGTTATTTCCGGGATCTCTATTCTATTCCATTGATCTATGTATTTTTTTGTGCCAGTACCAAGCAGTTTTGAGAACAGTGGCTTTGTAATACAGCTTGATATCTGGAATTGAGATCCCCCCTAATTTGTAAACCGATTTCGGCAGATCTATGTATTTTTTATGCCAGTAGCATTCTATTTTGATTACTATAGCCTTGTAGTATAGTTTGAAATCAGGTAGCATTTCCAACTTGGTTCTTCTTTCTCAATATTGCTTTAACTGTTCGGGGTCTTTTGTGGTTTCCTATACATATTAGGAGTATTTGTTCTAATTCTGTGAAAAATGGCATAGGATACGCTGTAGATGAGGCCCCCTAGAACCATAAGAAATGCAAAAATTCACTGTTAACTCATCTGGAATTACCCCAACTTAAAATCAAATTGCTCCCCTGTGGGGCGTGTGCCGCACCTTGGGAACCACTGGGCTTGACACTTTTCCTGCCCGAGCTTCATTCCTGAATACATATTCATATACCGTGGGAATTGTAATCTCCGCCCACCTCACTGGGTTGTCATGAGGAGGTTCTGAGCTAATAAACCTAGAAATGTTTCATCAAGTAAGTTTTTAAGCCCATGGGTACCCTCACAGGTAGCAGGTGCTGATTAGGGGAGTGGGGCATGATTATTTCCTAGGACTGTAGCTATGGAAGCTTTGCAGAGGGTTCCACAGGCCTTGGAGAGGCGGGCTCTGGCCAGCATCCCTGTACTGGTGGTCATCCCTGGAGGCGCTGGTGGGGGCCAGGGCATTAGGGAGGGGCGCTAGGGGGCGGTGAGGCTGAAGGAGGAGTAACTGTCAAACCTTCCCACTTGGCGCCATTCTTTAAATTGTACATGACTGTTTGGCAGCTGTACCTGCTCAGGGCGGGGCTCCAATCCCCTGGAGTGGGGTGGGGGTCGGGCCAGGGTGGAGCCAGGTGGGCTAGGAGTGCTTGTTTAGCCGTACCCCCAGCGAGGTACAGTGCGCTTCCAATGCAGAGACGATGCTGCTGCTATGGGGGGAAGGGTCTGACCCTGTGGGGCCGCTCAGGCCTGCCTCCACCCGGGTCAGGAGTTGTAGGGAAGAGAGGCATGCCCAGCCTCAGCGAAGGGGGCCGGGCAGTGGTGTGCCACGGGCCCCGGGTGCCTCAGGGGCGCTGATGGGTGGTCGCTGGCGTGCTATTGTTGTGGGAGCCCAGGGCGGGATGAAGGGGTAAGAGATTGGGAGTTGGAGGTGTGGGCTGCAGCTACCCCTGAGGCTGGGTCTTCTCCCAGTCCAGTCAGCCTCCCTGTTCCCTGGGGGTGCAGGGGCTGGGGTATGGTGTCCGGCTGTACCCCCCAGGGGTGTGGGGGCTGGGGTAGGGTGTCTGTACAGGGGGATTGGAAGAGCTCCCCATGGCCACTTCCTTTTCCTTCTTTGCAGTCTGGGCTCCTGTCAGGCGGTCTTGGCTCTGCCGCCCAACCCCTGCTGCGCCCACATCAATATGCAAATTGGTGATTACTGGGACACTGTAACAGTCAATGAGCATATTACCTCTTTATATGTATAGATTCTTAACTTTCTATCATCAATGTCTTATAATTTTCAGAGTATAGGTCATTTACCTCCTTGGTTAAATTTATACTTAAGGTATTTTATTCTTTTGAAGGCAATTGTAAATGGGATGGTTTTACTAATTTCTCATTCTGATAGTTCATTATTGGTGTATAAAAATTGAACTGGTTTCTGAATATTAATTTTGTATTCTGTCACTTTATTGAATTCATTTAGTTTAAATAGTATTTTGTGTGTATGTTTAATCTTTAGGGTTCTCTCTATATAGTATCATGTCATATGCAAGTAATGACTGTTTTACTTCTTCCTTTCGATTCTGAATGCCTTTTATTTCTTTTTCTTATCTAATTGCTGTGGCTAGGAATTCCAATACTATGTTCAATAAAAGTAGAGAAGCCGAAACCGGTTTGGCTCAGTGGATAGAGCGTCGGCCTGCGGACTGAAAGGTCCCAGGTTCGATTCCGGTCAAGGGCATGTACCTGGGTTGCGCGCACTTCCCCGGTGGGGGATATGCAGGAGGCAGCTGGTCGATGTTTCTCTCTCATCGATGTTTCTAACTCTCTATCTCTATCTCTCTCCTTTCCTCTCTGTAAAAAAATCAATAAAATATATTAAAAAAATGTTAAAAAAAAATAAAAGTAGAGAAAGTGAACATCCTGATCTTAAAGAGAAAGCTTTCAGCTTTTAACTGTGGAATATAATGTTAGCTGTGGGTTTGTCATATATGGCCTTTATTATATTGAGGTATGTTCCATTTATCCCCACATTACTAAAAGTTTTAATCATAAATGGATGTTAGATTTTGTCATGTGCTTTTTCTGTCTCCGTTGATATAGTCATATGATATGTATTTTTCATTTTGTTTATGGGTTGTATCACATTAATTGATTTGCAGAATTTGAACCAATCTTGCATCCTGGGAATAAATCGCACTGGATCATCGTATATGATCTTCCTTTGTATTTTTGTTGTGTCAGTTGCCACTTCTCCTTTTTCATTTCTAATTGTATTTTATTCAGTCCTTCTCCTTTATTCTTGAAGTCTCGCTAGAGGTTTATCCATTTTATTTTTTCAATGAACCAGCTCCTGGTTTCATTGATATTTTCTATTGTTCTATTAGACTAATTTCATTTATTTCCACTCTCACCTTTTTTTATTTCCTTCCCTCAACTCATTTTGGGCATTATTTTTCTTTTCTCTAGTTCCTTTAGCTAAAAGGATAGATGGCTTGAGATTTTTCTTCTTTCTTGAAATAGGCCTATATTGCTATGAATTTCCCTCTTAGAACTGCTCTGGTTGTGTCCCACAGATTTTTAGGATGTTAGGTTTTCATTTGTTTCAATGTATCTTTTTATTTCTTCCTTCATTTCATTGGTAACCCATTCATTGTTTAGTATCATGTTATTTAACCTCTATCGTTTGTGTGTTTTTCAGTTTTCTTTTTATAATTGATTTTAGATTAATACCACTGTGATCAGAAAAAATACTTATGATTTCAATCTTCTTAAATTTATTGAAATTTGATTTATGGCCTAATGTGACCTATCCTGAAAAATGTCCCACCACATACACTCGAAAATAATGTATATTTGGCTGCTCTGAGGAGAAATGTTCTAGAAAAATCAATTAAATCCATCTGATCTGATGTGTCATTTAAGGCAACTATTTCCTTGTTGATGTTTCTGTATGGAAGATCTATCCATTGATTCTTTCCTTGGATTTTTCTGTCTGGATGTTCTATCAATTACTATATTATATTATTATTGATCTCTCCCTGTATGCCTAATTTCTTGTATAACTCACAGATTTTTGATTTGTGGTTAAATGTAGTTCTATATACAGGGTGTAGCAAAAGTAGCTTTTCAAAAGGAATATAATACAATAATTAGTAAATAATAATACAAGAATAAATTCTTTGTTTCAAGTACTTACAACTTTTCCCCCACCCTGTACTAAGCTATATAGCAGTTTTAGATGACAGTCACTTAATTTTGAACACATTCTAAAATCACTACAATTTTTACTCACCCGCTCCTCATTTATGTTTTTGTCATTCTCTTTTACTTCTTTTGTGTTGGTGTGTTTGTGTGTCTCCTTAATTTATTGTTGTAATTACACATGCTCTTCCTACTTTCCCTTTTAACTTTTGTACTAGCTTTATAGTTGGTGATCCACCACTTTTATTTAGTATGTTTGCTTTTATCAGTGAGAATTTTTTCTTTCCTGTATTTTCTTATTTATATTTTTGATCATTTTTTCTCTTCTTAAAGAAGTCCGTTTAACATTTCTTGTAAAATTTGTTGTAATACTGGTTTAGTGGTGATGAACTCTTTTAGCTTTTCCTTGTCTGAAAAACTCTTACTTTTCCTTTGATTCTAAATGATAGCCTTACTGGGTAGAGCATTCTTGGTTGTATGTCTTTGCCTTTTGTAACTATTTCTTGCCATTCCTTTCGGCCTGCAAAATTTCTGTTGAGAAATCAGCTGACGGTCTTATGGGAGTTCCCTTTTATGTAATTAACTGCTTTTCTCTTGTTATTTTTAGGATGCAATCTTTGACTATTACCTTTGGCATTTTAATTATGATGTGTCTTGGTGTGGACCTCTTTGGGGTCATCTTATTTGGGACTCTCTGCACTTCTTTGATTTGTATGTCTATTTCCTTTGCCAGGTTAGGGAATTTTTTAGTTCTTTGTTCTCTCTCTTGCCCTTCTGGTACCCTTGTGATCCAAATGTTTGCTTGATATTGTACCTCAGGTCCCCTGTATGCTTGATGATGTCCCTCAGGTCCCTTAAACTATCCTAATTTTTAGAAAATTCTTTTTCTTTTTGGTACTACAATGAGTGTTTTCTGCTGCTTCCTCTCATAGATCACTTATTCAATCCTCTTCTTCATCTAATCTGTTGTTGATTGCTTCTGATGTATATTTTATTTCAGTTATTTTAGTCTTAATTTCCAACTGGTTATTTTTTATGTTTTTTATCTCTTTATTAAAGTCCTCACTGAGTTAATCCATTTTTTTTCCCCTAAGACCACTGAGCATCCTTATAACCACTGTTTTAAAGTCTGCATCTGGTAGATTGCTTGTGTCCTGTAGGGCCCAGAAGTGCAGACTATCTGCCTCCCTGAGCTGCTCCAGTGGAGTTCCTTGTGTGTTTTGTATGCGCCCTCCTGTTGTAGTTGAGCCATGATTGCTGTTGGCACATCCGTCAGTAGAACTGGCCCTCAGGCTGACTGGGTGTGAGAGCTGTTGTGACTATTGCAGATGAGCTGTTGTGCTGGGATTGACCCACAGAGCAAGAGTCACTTTAGGGCTTTGATGCAGCCAAGCCTGCCAATTGGGTGTGTTGTTTGTCGAGCTGGTTGGGTGGTGTTCTGGGGTGGTCAGAAGCCACCCACCAATTGTGTTGGTTTTGGGGGTCCTTAGGAGGGGAACCAGTGCAGGTCAAGGTCAGCCTCTGGTTGAACCTGCCACCCCTCTATCTAATCTCCAAACAAAAATCCTACCTGATCCTTATGGTTTAGCCCAGGGGTGGGCAAACTTTTTGACTCGAGGGCCACAGTGGGTTCTTAAACTGGACCGGAGGGCCAGAACAAAAGCATGGATGGAGTGTTTGTGTGAACTAATATAAATTCAAAGTAAACATGATTACACAAAAGGGTACAGTCTTTTTTGTTTTAGTTTTATTCATTTCAAATGGGCCGGATCCGGCCAGCGGGCCGTAGTTTGCCCACGGCTGGTTTAGCCCAACTACCACCATGTTTATCAAACCATCCTCCACCCCAGAGAAAGGTGAGCACCACCCCCTCAGTTCTCACAACTTGTTAATTTTATCTCTTTCATGGCAATTATCACCATTGTCCTTTTGTTCTGGTGACTGGGTACATCTCTTTTCTCCCCTGAGTGGCCTCAAGTACATTGAGGTCAGGATAGCCTAGCTCTCTTGTCATGGGGATCTCAGGTCCACTGGACAGTCAGTGAAGGACCACTCCTATGTGGAGGTTTGGGTGGAAGAATTCAGAGCAGACGCAACAATGGGGAGAGAAAGTACACAATCCCTACTTGTTCACTTGCCTTTAAACACCCAGGAAAGTCAAGCAAAAGGGCCCACTGATGGCATTCTTAATATTCCAAATTGACATAAACAGAAAATTATCTTCAACACAGCATTGAATAGCTCCCTCCTCCCCCATCCAAGCACTGATGAACCTTGGTAGTGCTGGTAAAATGAAATATTTCAGTCAGTAAGTTTCAGGAAATAAACATCCGTACTAAGAAGAACTCCTACATGCACAAATGCACACATAGCTCCAAGCGCCAGCCCAGAAGGGCTAATGGAGCATTTTGTTATTTGTGCCTTTTGTGTGTTTTTTTTTAAACTTTTACACTTTCAATCCAAACCCGACAAATAATCCTTGGACAGTTTGGAGTAGGCACAGGGCAGGAAAGGCCAGCAATGACTCCCGCAACTTCCCCTGCCTGGCCTGTGATACAGCAATTTGGCAGGTCAGTACCCTGTCCAGGACCGAAGAACCTGGAAACTGGGCACAGGGCACTTTCTGCAGCAGTACCTCTGCTCTGCACTGTGTCTGCTTAGGCCCTTATCCCTGTGATCCCATGCATGAGAGTTCAGATTTTTTCTTCCCATGGCCATGTGATTAGCAGCTCACAAAGGATTTCCAGGACTGGGCAGCTGTGCCCTGTCACACCTTCCCCTAAAAATGGTAGAGAAGACTTCTGAAAAGAAACTCGTCCTTCTGTTCTCAACCACAAGCCTTGCCCTGTGTCCCCAACAGTCATGTATAGGAAGAGGGTCTCATCATCTTGTCACAAACCCAGGGAA